ATAACCACTGCTGATACATTCAGTGTGAATGTAAGTATTTTGTACTTTCAGTACATAATTATTCTTGTATTTGTAAATGTTGAAACACTTCTACAAAGAAAAACATGCTGTGGTTAATATTGTTTAAATATTAGGAGGTTTTTAAAAATTTACTAATAATGGTTTGCTGTTTATAAAATATCTTTACTAATTTTCTTGGCTGTGGTTTGATTTTGGGCTTCACAAGTCTCATATTTGAGCTTACATAACAGGGCAGATATTTTTACTCTCAAGCATAGGAAACTGAGATTCAGTAAGGTTAGATGACTTCCTAAAAGTTACACAAATTAATAAGTGACAGAATCAGGATTCAATCCTATTTCAATCAATAAATATCTATTGAACACCTTCTATATGCTGGTCTTTATTAAGGGTAGTAGTAGTCAGGACAGGATTATAGCGATTAAGATAAGGAAGTTATTAGGATAACTCAAGTTCTGGCTCCATTAATGCTTAAATAATCACTTTGTTACTTTTCTGTCTAAGCAGTGTTAAATATCTTGTTGTACAGGGTTTAAAGTGGGTTTTTTTTTTTTTAATTTCTTTGTTTTTGTCTGATAGAAAGCTTTGTCAACACTATTTATCACTATTTAGAACAGAATTGGAGAGCTCCTTTTAATGGAAGAATATTAAAAATACACTAAGAGACCATTCAAGATACAGCAGTTGCTTTCTATTTACCTGGAGTAACAGAGGAAGTAGAAAATGGAAGAGGAAGAAATGAAATATGTGGCTAATTGCCTCCATGAACACCTGCCACCTTTGTCATGAGACCAGAAGAACTGGATGATACCTGGCTACCCCATTACTGAACATTTGATCAAAAATTCTATAGAAAAATTCTGATCAAAAGGGGGAAAATATGGAACAGAATTTCAAATTTTCATGAAATCAGTCTTTCTGGAGCCATGGAACCTAGATGAACCCCCAGAACTATTACCCTGAGATAATCTTTAAACTTTATACCAAAAATATTCTCTGAAGTCTTTGTACAACCAATCATTTGGCTTAACTAGAAAAGAATGTCTGCCTTGATCATTGTGCTCTTTTAAGAGCTATCTAGATGGCATCAAATTGACCAAAGCAACTCAAAAGATTAAATAGGAACCTTAGGGTGCATTGAGTTTGTGTTAATGGGGGAGGAACAGTTTGGAAAAGGAGGGTGAGAATGGTTGCACAACTTGAAGAATATAATCAATATCACTGAATTGTACATGTAGAAATTGTTGAATTAGTGCATGTTCTGCTGTGCATATTCTCAGCACCAATGACAAGAAAAAATAAAATGTGTGTGTGTATATATATATGTATATAGGAGCTCTGGTAGCATAGTGCCTAAGGCACTTGACTGCTAACCAGAAGGCTGGCGGTTCAAACTCACCAGCCACTCCTCGGAAGGAAGGTTGGGCAATCCTACTTCTGTAGTGATACTGCCTCGGAAACCCAAGGCGGGGTCGCTATGAGTCGGGTCCCACGCAAGGGCAAATAACAACAGCAGCAGCTATATATATATATATGTATATATGATATATATATATGATATATATATGAGATATGTATGAGAGAGAGAGAGGGAAAGAGAATCAGGTTCTAAAAATAACTTTGCAGTTTATTAAGTGCTGTTTCAACTATTTTCTCATGTGAGTCATAGTAATTCTGTGAGTAGATACCATCTTCATTTTATAAATGACTAAACTAAGAGTCAGTGAGTGTTACCTGACAACAAGAGCTATGTGCTGTTGTTGTTGCTGTTGTTATGTGCCGTTGAGTTGGACCCAACTCACAGTGACCTTGGGTTTCTGAGGCAATATCACTATGAAAGTAGATTACCCAACCTTCCTTCTGAGGAGTGGCTGGTGGGTTTGAACTGCCGGCTTTCTGGTTAGCAGTCAAGTGCCTTAGGCACTACGCTAAGGGCTATGTGCTAATAAAATGGCTAATAAACGGGACACCTGGGTTTGAGTCCTCAGATGTCTCCAGCCAGATACCTTGTTTATCTTACTGAGCAGCACTGGCTTTGTGGCCCATCAGGACTGCACTGTGCCAGGGGATATGACACATGGCTCTGCAGTTTGTCCCTCTGCCTTAGGGAAGTACTATATAAGCATTGACCCAAGCTCTTATACCTGGTATCTCGTTGGGGGCCACCTGGCCCTAGTCAGACCTAGATGTCTTCAGCTGTCAGTTGCACAAAGTAGGCCAACACTTTGGATTTAATTACCAACCTTTATAACATGTCCAGGAACCTTGGTGGGGCCTGGTTAAAACACTAGGCTACTAACCGAAAAGTTGGTGGTTCAAACACACTAGATGCTTCTGTAAAGAAGCCTTAGAAACCCTGTGGGGGCAGTTCTGCCTTGTCCTTAAGGTCTCTGTGAGTCAGAATTGACTCCAGGGCAACAGGTTTGGTGTTTTGGGTCATAGAACATCCTTGTTGGTGAAGTACTTTGCTGTGTGGAGCACAGGATTCTCAGTTCATACAAGGACAGATCAAATCCAGTGTGCCAGCAGGAGAAAATACACCTTGAATTCAGAAAATTTATAAGGGGGAGAAAAACACAAAAACGAACCCCTAATTTTAGAGAAACCCCTGCTTTAAAGAAACTATTGAGTCACATATTTAATGTCATTATCATGACTGTCTTAATCGTAGTACAGAGATGTTTATAGACTTCTAAAAAAAATCTCTGCAGTGTTAGTGAAACTATAGTTTGCCAGTTGATTTGGCGCAAATCTGAAATGGAAGGGAAACCATTTTTATTTATTTACTTGTAAGATAAATAAAGTTGGAAAACGGGTCAATTTCATGCATGCAAGGTTTTATAGTAGGAAAAAAATGCATTGCACCTATACTGACCCTTTACATTTGAGGTTATTTGTTCTCAAACTTGACCTCAAGCACCACTTTCAGACACCTCTATAATTAATTTGTTAGATAAAACATAAGGATACTTTATTTGCTTTGGTTTCTAGGACTGTGGCGAAGTAGCAACTGAAATTGCTAACCTAATGTACATAGCAGTTAATTAAAGAAAAGAATTAACTTTGGGAGAACACCCTCACTGTTGTTGTCTTGTATCAGTATAAAAAGGCAGTAATTTTTTTGACAACCACTGATTGGAAAGTTGCTTGCAGCCTTCCAGAAGCAAGGGGGTACACGCTGTGGATCAATAACCGGCAAATTTCCCATTAAAAAGAATACCTGAGCAATGTTCCAAATAGCCACTGGCATCTTAATTTTCCATGGAAAGCTCAAATACTTGTGTGCCGAGGACAAGTCATTTTCGGACAATTTTTCCAGACTACTTGTTAACAGTTATTGCTGTCCCAAAAGGTTGACAGCCTACATGATTGATATCTCATTTACTTGTCATCACTGTTTGAGTAATGGCGAGTGCTGTATTTCTGTGGTTTTAGGGAACATAGTTTCCTGAAAGGCATTTGCCTTAGTATGCATTCCAGAAAGTGTGTTGCACTTATGCTGTATGTATATGAGTTTTTAGGACCAGGAGAGGAGAGGGCTTTACAGTTTGAAAGCCCCTGGAGAGGAGGCTACACTTACATCATTCTATTGCTACCAAATATCCTCTTCTATTTTATGTGTTATTAGGACAAAATGTCTTAACTTGTTATCTTGTGATTCCCAAGATGATGTAAAATTTTATAGCTTGCCTTTATTAAAAATAACTTGATCTTTTAATAATTTTAATGTACAGAAGAGCAATAGAAAGATATACATGTGTATCTCTTCTGAAAAGAATCTTTTGTAGAATGTCAAATAATGACACTCAAGGAGAAATTTCCTGAAAATATGGTAGTTAAATAATAGACACATGTTTTTAATGTGGAAACAGTGAAGATTAAAGGGGAGTTGTGCTCCATGGTAGCCCCTCAGAACACAAAATCGTCTGTTTTCATCATCAGTATTTTTGCACCAAGAGTATCACTTTGTTGTTTTCAAGTATTAAAAGAAGTGAGAGCCCAGGAGTCATTTTCAAGTTAGATAGACGTATGCTTACCAGTTAGCGTATTAAGGAACATGGGAATCAGACTCTAATACAACCTACTAGAATGCTTTGTGTTATGGAGGAGCATAAAAGCCTGTTCACTTTGTTGTTGTTGTTATTTGCCCTCGCGTTGGACCTGACTCATAGTGATCCCTCCCACCTTGGGTTTCCAAGACATTATCACTATGGAAGTAGATTGCTCAACCTTCCTTCCAAGGAGTGGCTGGTGAGTTTGAACCTCCAGCCTTCTGGTTAGCAGTCAAGTGCCTTAGGCACTATGCTACCAGAGCACCTGCCTATTCACTTAGACGTTTATTTTGGGGGCTCAGAATTTTACAGTGAAATTTGGTCTGTACTAAAGTGTTTATAAGACTAAAACTTAAAAAGTATGTTTTATGTTGGTTTGCTTAAAGCTACCTTTTTATCATATTAATCTTGTCATCTTTGGATAACTCATATCTTGTTTGCTAATTCAACTGTCTCTTTGATTTAGATTTCCACTTTCTGTGTATTTTATTCACAAATGTCAATAATGTTTGATTACCTAACTGGTGTGTAGATCAACACCCATGTGAACCTTCTTCATTTTGGTTTGCAAACTCCAGGAGGAAAAAAAATGGGGCAATTTGAACATTTTCCACTAAAATACATTTTGTGTCACTAGTAATACGTATCAGTTTCAAAATACTTCTAGAGATCAAATTCTAACTTAAAATCTTAATCAACATTTTTACTATTAAAGATAAATGGCAGTCTGGGGAACTACATTTTACTGGACTTTTAATCTTGAGTATTCACAATAGACATTTTGATGTGCAAATAGGGCAAAAGTATTCTCAAGGCTGATATGTGTATACCAGCAATTTAAAAAGTACTATGAATTAAACAACCCATAAGTATCTGTTCCAGTATTCATACATTACTGAGTAATCTCTTTCTATAATCTCTTTGCAGTATTATTCCACAGTAATGGAACAACAAGTAAATGGACAGTTAATAGAGCCTCTGCAGATATTTCCGAGAGGTAATGTTGAACAAATTCTAATCAACAATGATTATTTCAGCAAACTGTTTCATCAACAGTTATGTTTTCCAAAGGTTTAAATGCACATAGCATGATGTTTAGCTCTTAATTTGAAAAAACAAAAGAAGTATTCATTATCGTGGGGATTACAGGCTATATTATAGTTATGGCAGATAAAATATCTAATTTACTAGAGTAAATTAAACTAACTAGATTGTTGTTTTGTTTGTGAAGTACATACTTACATTCGTTTAAAGAACTCTTTGGGGGGTCCACATGGTTTCTAAACCAAGGCAAATGAATGCCTTTAGTTCTGGATATTTATAAATTGTGATTCATGGTGATGACCAAAGTTGCTATTGAGGAGAAAACTTCCAGCTCAAGAATTACAGAGATTTACAGAGGAATTGTAGGAGAGAAATTTTGGTGGAATGTTCGGCACTCAGTATTTGCGAGTGGCGTTTTTGAAATAAAGGATTATCTTCGTAATTGAAAATTTGATTGCTAAGTCTCTAAAACTTTGAGGAGATAGGGTATATCTTGGTGAATCACTTGGTGAAATAATTACCTTTTAGGCACTAGACTTGTATCAGATATGATTGTTTAACCGTGTATAGTCGTTCCCTCAAAATTGGAATAACAGTGAAAAAGAACAGTTTAATTATGTGAATCCATTAAGTCTTTCACCTGTTACTCATTGCCCCACTTGGAATCCATGTTTTTTTAACTGATGGAACAGATAAGGAAATTCTCTAAGTAACTCTTCTTGAAATAACTTAATTGAAATAATTAAAAGTTAAACTTACCTTCCTTAACTGATACTGTACAAATAATCATAGTATGAGTTTTCCAATTAAACATTCTAGACTTTCATTACCTGTTAACTCTCTGAAGTTTGAAAGGCTCAATTAACCAGTAGGTTCTTATTCATACTGATAAAGTCTCCAAAGACCAGTTCAGGAGGAGATCTGGGTTCAAGAGTAAAGCAGGCTCTTGTAGCTTTTGCTCAAGTGGCAGGATTGTGAATGCTTATTACATTTTAATAACACTAATTAAAGTGTTTAGTAAATAATAGCAAAAGATCCATTCAGAGGTCAATGATAACAGTATATCTGAAATAAAGATTATGAATAATCGAATTCTGTTCACCTGAAGACTAAAGACCAAAAAAGAAAAAGAAGTATTGTTATTTCTGTGTATCAGGCCATTAGCCAAGATGAGGATGAAGATTTTTTTTAATGTTCAGAGAATTTGGGCAGGTTTCAAAATTGTTTCCCCAATAGAAATACTTTAAAAAAAAAAAAAACCAAGCTGAAAATTCCTCTTAATTGCTTCAGTACTGGCTGACATTATAGTTTTGTTACAGTAAACACTAGTACAGTATCCTGGGGTATTGTATTTCCAATGCTATGGGTCTTCATTTTCATTTTCAGTAAAGTATTTACTTCTCTTTATTCACAATATTTTCAAGTTCTGTTTGTTTTCTTTCATTTTGTGAACAGTCTCTTTTATGCTCCCTGTCCATACCAGGTGTCCCCTCCCATGATACTAACAACCATTTTTAAGCTTCTCTGTTCAGACACTAATACTGCTTTATGTGGCATCATTTCTAATTCTTCTAGCAATTCTGACTGTTAGGTATTATTATTTCCATTTTATAGATGAGAATACTGAAGTTTAGAGAGGTTAAGTAACTTCAGAGTCACATAGCTTATAAGTGATTAATACACTCTTTGAGTGAGAATTTTTTTGAAATTATAATTTGCGTAAAGTAGAAGGGAATTAAGTTAAAGTATTAATAGAATGTGCATAGGGGTAGCTTGTAGGAGTTGGTAGGGGTGAGGAGAAGGTAACTCAGAAGAAGAAAATACATGGAATGTGTCACCTAGTCCTAGCACAGAACCTACTACACCAAAAAGACAGAAACTAACCCACTGCCATCGAGTCAATTCCGACTGATAGCGACCCTACAGGACAGAGTAGAACTGCCTCGTAGGGTTTCCAAGGCTATAAATCTTTATAGGAGCAGACTGCCACGTCTATCTCCAGTGGAATGGCTGGTGGGTTTGAACCACTGATCTTTTGGTTAGCAGCCGAATGCTTTAACTGCTATACCACCAGAGCTCCTTCACAGAACATACTAGGCCCCATTAAATGTTTGTCTATTAAATATAGTCCTTCCTAGGCAAATGTACATTTTTCAAAATACGGAAAATTCAGTCTCCCGAACTCTATGTTTTTTTGCATGATATAGTGTAACTCTTTCTAGTTCTTTTATAGTCTTTTTTTTTTTTTTCCTGCTCCTTATCTGTTTATCTAAATAAGTACAATTAGAATATACATGATTTAGGTATATTACCTGGGTCTGTCTAGTTGATGAGATCCCTGGGTGGTACAAACAGTTTGTGCTCGGCTGTAGTCAAAAGGTTGGAGCAGCACTGCTCAGCAGTACTGTGGAATAAAGACCTGGTGATCTGCTTCTGTGAAGATCACAGCCAAGAAATCCCTGTGGAGCTCCATTTTACTCTATAAGACACAGAGTTGGCATGAATTGGAATCAACATGGTTAGAGGCCTCAGAACTTCAATTCCATGGTCAGGTCCCATGTTAAATCTATAGCAAGTGGGAAGGGCAGGAGAAAACGATTCTTTTCTAACATCAGATGTTCTCATTCCAAGTAGCATAATTGCCTTGATCCTCCCTGTAAATAAAAGGTAACTTAAATATTGTAAGTGTGAAAATTTACTAACTTTACAGTAATTTTTGATTCTCTAACTGTGATAAAAGTAACTGTGATAAAAGTGAGGTTACTGGGTTTTTTGAGTGCTGTTTTGATTTCCAGTCATAAAGGTTCAAGAAGCCAGTTGAGTGAGGCAGATGTTAACGTTGGAGATGAAAATGAATGCCTGTCTCTGAGCCCTTGGTTAAGCACCAAACCCACTTCTGTTGAGTTGATTCTGACTCATAGTGATCCAACAGGACAGAGAACAACTGCCCCATAGGGTTTCCAAGGCTATAAATGTTTACAGAAGCAGACTGCCCATATCTTTCTCCCGTGGAGTGGCTGGTGGGTTAGAACCACCAATTTACTGTTAGCAAACAAGTGCTTAACCGCTGCACCACCAGTTACTCTAATCCCTTGGATAGCCACTCTCTTATTGAATGAAGTTTATGAATGCATTGTTTACTTCAGTGGAAAGTTGTCTTAGGAAATACTGATGGTCCCTCAAGGACTAGGCATCAAATGTATGTGACTGTTATTTTGTTCAAAAGGTTAATTTCCATTTTAAAGGAAGAAGATTCAAAGTCTCAATTATAATTTATTTAAGAAAAGATAAAGACTCTTTATTAAAGTTTAGATATATTTTCTAGGAAAATAGCATAATAAATTTAAATATACTTGAAATATATAAAATTATAGCAACTGATGTACTTTGTAATTATGTCCCATGTCATCTTATTAATAAACTACTCTATTTGTTGTCAGAAAGAGAGGAAAAATACAGGTACTTCTGAGAAAGGAGGGAAAAAAAAAAAGAAATCCATCCTACTCCAAACAATCAATCAAAATTGATGACCCCTTAACATACAATTTGTAGGGCACTGTAGTTTTCAAATGGAGGCAGTCTGTAACATGGGCAGGAAGCTTTTATATTTTTAACATGTGATGAAGAAGCATTTACTGAATTGGAAAAGTACAAACGTATAATTCAAGATGGTGTCAGGAAAAAAATATTTTTCCTGCCACTTCTTTTACCTTTAGACTTCAATATTACCTAAATAAGAGCAGGTGTTAAGATTTAGAAGAAATGTAGTGAATTAGTTGTATCTGTTTTAATTTACTGCTCATCATTGTACAAACTTTTCTTCAGATTTGAATGTTCCATCTTAAGATCATTGGTAGTATTTTGACATAAAAAGACCCTTTCCTAACTTTTCTTCCCCACCAAAAAAGAAAAAAAACACTCTAGGTATTTCAAAGGAGTTAAGTATTAGCAGATACACAATGTAATAGAGTGAGGGGAAGATTGTAGAAATTTGAATTATGATAGGAATCTAATCATTTTATTTCAGTTAACTTGATTTTTATATGTTTTAAGCAGAAATTGGAATTTATATGAGGCAGTGTCAGAAAGCTCTTTGCATTTATAAATGCTCACTCCTGCAAGTTAAAAACCCTGGTTCATAATTCCCACTTTGGGTCTTGGGAGCCACTTTTCAATCATTTCTCTCTGCTAATTTTGGTGTCACCCTCATTTCTTTTTAAACGATTCATTTTGAGCAAATTTGTAAATGGCCCTGATGTGTTCTACAATTTAGTCAATTACTGTTTCAGCCTGCAAGCCTCCTGGGGAACGGAACATACATGGCCTGAAGGTACGAATTTCAATAATTGTTTCAGTAAAGTTAGATGGATTTGTAATGCTGTGTTCCACTTATTGAAATGTCAAATAAAACTGCACTTTCTCAAGCTCTGACAAGCGATTCTTTTTTTTTTTTTTTTAAAGTAGGAGGAGGAGGGGATCCATCTGTAGTATTTTCTCAATATGTGTATATATTTGGATATAGGAATTTTGGTATTGTATTTTTTTTATTTGGAATTGCTTTGTTGGTCAGTTTCTTCAGGATTACCCTAGGTACTGGTCTTCCACAAAGATTTATTGGAGTGAGAACATAGACTTCATTTCATTGATTAATTAAGCACATAAGCATATTACACACAGAATACTCCCCTCTTCTTTTGACATGTTTATACTAGACACATATATCTATTTAATGTCTTTTCATTGTTCTGCGTACTTTAAACTCTGGGTTTCTGCTTAATGCTTCATGTTTGAAAGAAAAGATGGCTATTGTATTAGTCTCAACCACTTTATAATTCATTATTTGAGCCTCATTTTTCAGTGAGTAAAAAACATTCTCCTGTATTCTGCTTGGTTTTAGAGATAGAAGGCTATGATAAGTTGAGGTTCATGATTAGACCCTGGATATATTCTTAATGTATTTTTGAGCATACTGTTTTTGTGTGTGTTCTTCAACAGTTAATTAAAAAACTTTCTCCTGTGTGTCTCTCCTTTTTCAGCACTGTTTAAGTATTTGAACAATGAGAGGAATAGAGAATTATTAATGTACAGGTTATATGGTTCTGTAACCTATATACCGAGGGCCTGTTTAGCAACAAGCTAATTAACCTTCATAGTGAAATGAGAAATTTGTGACAAATTATAGGTTAATTAGAACTGTGTCCTCAGAACACAAGACTGATCAAGATTCTTTCTTGTAGGTGAATACCCGGGCCGGAGCCTCCCAACATGGCAGCCCAGCAGTCTCAGATTCACTGCCAAGCAATAGGTGAGAACAAGCAAGTGAATAGTGCCCTAAGCATGATTATGTACAAAGTTGGGAGTGGAATGGAGAAGATGCTTATGGGAAGATGACTCTTTTCTATAAGACCAAAAATAATGTGTATATGGCTTAGAAGGAATTTGACTGGCTAGATAACTGTAGTTAGACACTGACTAAAGAGAAAGGATCTACTGTATAATATAGAAAGATGAAGTCAGACATGTTCGACTATTAATTTTGGTATGTGGAATGGTTTTCCTTTATAGTCTCTAAATTATACAGAAACTTCAGTGCCTTTAACTGTTTCATAGGATCTCTGGTAGCATAGTGCCTAACGCACTTGACTGCTAACCAGAAGGCTGGTGGTTCAAACCCACCAGCCACTCCTTGGAAGGAAGGTTGGGCAATCTACTTCCGTAGTGATACTGCCTCGGAAACCCAAGGAGGGGTCGCTATGAGTCAAGTCTGACTGGACGGCACATAACAACAACAACAACAACTGTTTCATGCCTTGATGATCTGGTTGGAAATTGTGTAGTACTGATTATTTTTTTCTTACCCATCTTTTGGCAGTGTTTCTGCCAACTGGCATCTTCACCAGAAAGAGGCAAGGAAAGAGTACAGTGGTGAAATTCCATTCAATCTACCATGTTCCTCATTAGTATCTTTGGTTGTATAGGAGATTGAAGCTATTTCAGAAGAAAAGTATTTTCATTAATTCATGCTGACATCACCCCATACTGCAATGGATACTGATAACAGAGTCTCAGAGTCTTTTTCAAAGTGTTCCTTCTCCAAGTCCTAAGGCTATGTAACTTACTTCAAGGGTATCATGGCCCCAAAGTAGGAGAGACCTACTTAAGGCAATAGAACACCAGGTCTTTTTGGTCATACATTCAGTTATTCAGCCAGTAAACATCATGTCAGTGTACTTGCAGATGATACTTTAAAGGTGATTGTTCCATACGTGCATATTTGTCTTGGTGGCTAAAAAGCTAACATCAAGCCACAAAACCCTTCCAGGGTTTTTCTGGATTTAGGGTTGTTGCCAGCTGAGCCTTTTATTGACTTGGTTCTTTTGCCAAAGGGGCTTAACTGTAGGTAATTTAAAGTCTTTCCTTCTGACTCTCTCTTAACTCCCATCTCTTCTCCAAAAGCCACTTCTTTGAATGCTGTATTATGGTATCAGTGTATTCACCCACTAGCTTTCCTGCAATGAATACATTGCTCTTAAAGTGTGTTTCCTTCTTAAACAATTCATTCTGTCTTAAAACACAGACAGTTTAGTTATTCACCAGTGGATCATCTGCCTGGTGGTCTTGAGAGGCAGTTCTTTCAGCTCTCACTGAAGAGCTTGCTCTGCCAGGCAATGCTGTCCAGCTTCTCTGTTCATGCTTGTTGGGCATGTGAGCCATGGCCCAGAAGAGTGGAGTCTTAGGGTTGAGGGTCACTTGTTACACTCAGCTCAAAGAAGGCAAGGCATTTAATTATTAGCACTGCTTCCAGAGAAGGTGTTATCTAGACAGATTGGCCTTGAGCCTTGAGAAAGAACAAGGACTTGCCCTGGTCTTTCAGATGAAATTTCCTCATGGTATCAAGAACAAGATAGAGTTGAAAAGAGGGCGTGGTAGAGAAGCAGGATCATTTTTCAGTTCTCTCAGATTTGGGTTTAATAACATAAAGGAATTAATTTTGTTTTTTAAAAAATATCATGTATATTCATGGACTATTGTAAAATTTGGACAGAAATGCAGAGATCATCTGATCCAGTGGTTCTTAGCCTTTTGCCTGCAGCATTTTCCCTCAAGGATATTGTGATATTGCAGTCTCTTCAACAGTAATGATAGTTTGCTCTAGTAGTGATTCCTGTTATGGAAGGAATGTAATTTGAAAAAGTCCTGTAGGTGATTTTAATATACTGCCTCAGCGTCGTATGTCCTGTGCCCATGTTGATAATTAATCAACAAATATTTATTGAGCCCCTCTTATCCTTGAGGTATTGTCCTACACACTGGAAATAAAGTGGTGAACAAGGCAGACATGGTCCTTATCCTCTGGAGCTTCCTATCTAATGGGAGCACAGACCAAACAAAAATGAGTATACAAACAGTTACACTTAATGTTAGTGATATTCAGGAACTCAGCAGAATGTAAAGAAAGAGAACGCATTACAAGGCAGAAGTATGTTTAGATTGGGTGTTCAAGGAAGGCTCTCTGGGGAAAGTGACATTTCTCTCTAGACTTGAAGGATGAGAAGGGTCTTGCCACATCAAGATCCAGGGGAGGGCATTTCACACAGAGGCAGGAGCAGTGAAAGTGCTGAGCTTGAAAAAGAGCTCAGGGTGTTTGTAAGAAGGCCAGTTTGGCTGGAGCACAGGGAGGGTGTGGTGTTGGGAGAAGGTTTGGGGATAGGAGGGAAAAGATGGTAGACAAGGACCAGATTATATGGGGCCTTATAGGCCCAGCAGTATTTGAATTTCCTTCTTAGTGTAGTGGTAAGCCCTTGGAGGGCTTTGGATAGGCTATAAAATAAACCAAACTCACTGTCATCGAGTCAGATACGATTCATAGCGACCCCCTCCTTGGGTTTCCGAGGCAGTATCTTTACAGAAGTAGATTGCTCAGTCTTCTTTATGAGGAGTGGCTGGTGGGTTTGAACCACCAGCCTTCTGGTTAGCAGTCAAATGCCTTAGGTACTACGCCACCAGAGCTCCTGCTTGGCACATAGGAGATAGTAAATAAATAGTTGAATGATGAATGTCTCTTAATCCCATTAAGTCTTATCTCTGAATTAAATTCTTCCAACTCATTCAGCTTTTCTGATATGACATTATTTCTTGTTTTTTCACCTTTGTATTCATCTTTGGATCTTTCATTTCCTCAATGTCCCTCTTAAAGTTCATGCTCCAGTTAAGTTATAGTCAAGTCACTGTTACCATACAGATAAACAAAACATTGAGTAAACTGAAGCACAAAGAAATTTCTAGGATACAAAATATTTTTTTACCAGATCAAGTTGGTAACCAAATACTGGCATAAAGAGTGAAATTGGTTTTTCTTTTGTTGCTATCAAAGCATGAGTTGTTCTTTGCATTAAGTAAATGACTGTTTTTTAAACTGAATTTACTAATCCTCATGGTATTCTTAGGCCATAATTACTGAATTTGGTCCCATTGCCAAAGCAAGGTTCTTCCTAAACCTCTTGGCTTTCTCTTTCTCTGAAATTGGGATGATTGAACTTTCTGTCTTTCTACTTCTGGCATTAGGAAGATTGATGAAGCTCTATTAAGAAGTAATATTTTGTTTCTTGGATGGAAGATGTTTTGTAAATGCAATGAATCAAAATGTTATTATTTCAAGTTGTATGACATAATGGAATATCTATGGAGAATCATTGTCTGGGCATTGTTAGGTTGTATCTGTCTTTATAATAATTGCAAATACCGAATTGGAAGTCATCTGTGGGAACACTAGATTTAGATGTTTCCCAGGAAAAAAGTATGTGTGTGTGTGTGTGTGTGTGTGTGTGTGTGTGTGAAGGAGAAAAAGAAAGGGAGACCAACTTTGAGCAAGCTCTGTACTTTAGATTCCTCTGTAAATTGGGGTAATAACTATATCTCACAGGTTGATTGTGCTGATTAAATTTGGAATAGTATTTAGCATAGTGCCTGGCACATAGTCATCATTAAATGAATGGCAACTGCTATCACTGTTTTTTTAATGAGGCCGACTTTAGGTAGATGTGCATGTGCCATTTCAGTGCCTGCATTTTCAGACTTGAGAGGACATTATGAAAATCTAGAACTCTTGGTTGAGAACACATTTTATAAAATCTGGGCAAGTAGGGACTGAGGCAGTTGACCATAGCAGAAATTTAAGATGTCTTTAGAAAAAAGAACAATTTAATTTGAAATGATGAGGTGGTCAAACTTGAAGTCTGAGATTTTCTCAAATATAACTTATTAAAGGTACCAAATGGAATGTGTGTGTTTATGTGTCTATGTATTTCATATTGGTGCTCAATACTTTTGCTTTCTGATATTTTTACCATCTTTATGTCTTACTGAGTTACTGCAACCAGCACCATATAATTACAGACAGAACAACCATCACCATTTATTGAGAACTTAACACATGCCAGGTCACTGGACTAGGTTCAGGTATGGGAGAGGGATAGAATATATAGAGAGGTGTGTAAAATGTGTCTGAATCTCAGGGAGCTCCTGGTCTTAGAGAAAGAAAGATAACTGTAACACAAGGGAAGAGAGTAAATTTGGTAGATAGGTTAAAGGGTAGAGTAGGTAGATTAAGATAAAATTAGCAAAGTTTAAATTTCAAATCAGACAATTTAAGGGGAAAGAGTATGGTTTTACATGCCACTCTAAAAGCCTGGTGGATATGATCAGTTGTAACTAACTCATCATAATTCCAGAAGGGCTTCAGAACTTCAGAACTTGGCCATACCTCTTTCTTTAAGAAGGACTTTCCTTAAACTCATCCACACAAATGTTTAAATAGCCATATACATCCAGAGAAGAACATTTTAATATTCCCTAGATAGCCCTAGGAGCTGGGTCTCATACCTTCAGGACAGGAAAGAGAAGGCAGGTAGTATTTATTTAGTACTATATACAACAGGGAGCTCTAGTAGTGTAGTGCCTAAGGCATTTGACTGCTAACCAGAAGGCTGGTGGTTCAAACCCACCAGCCACTCCTCGGAAAGAAGGTTGGGCAATCTACTTCCATAGTGATGCTGCCTCAGAAACCCAAGGAGGGGTTGCTATGAGTTGGATCTGAGTCGATGGCAGTGAGTGTTTTTTAGAGATACAACTGAGCTCTGGTGACACAGTGTGTAAGGTATTTGACTGCTCACCAGAAGGCTGGCAGTTCAAACTCACCAGCTCCTCTGCAGGAGGAAGATGAGGCAATCTATATCCATAAGGATTTAGAGCCTTGGAAACCCGATGAGAGTTGCTATGAGTCAGCATCAACTTAATAGTAATAGGTTTTTTTTTTCTTTTTTTGGTTTTATGTACAAGTAAAGGTTCCTACTATGTGCAAGAGGAGTTCTGGTGGCCTGATGCCTAAGTCATTAGACAGGTAACTAGAAGGCTGGCAGTTCAAAACCCACCAGCCACTCCTCGGAAAGAAGGTTGGGCAAACTACTTTCGTAGTGATACCACCTTGGAAACCCAAGGAGGGGTTGCTATGAGTCGGATCCGACTCATGGCAGTGTGTTTGGTTTTGGTTTGACTGTGTGCAAGACAAAGTCCCTTGGTGGTGCAGATAGTTTGAGCTCGATTACTAACGTGAAGATTGGCAGTTCAAACCCACACAGCATTGTCACAGAACAAAGGCCTGGTGATCTGTTTCCATCAAGATTATAGTCAAGAACACCCTGCAGAGCAGTTCTACTCTGTGGCACATGGGGTTCTCATGAATTGGACTCTGCTCAACGGCAATGGGTTATGTACATGAAATATGTCATATTTTGTTTTCCTGGTCACCCCAGGAAGTTGATATTGTTCTCCCATTTTATTGAGAGAGGAAATTGAGGTTCAGAGAGAATAAATAACTTGCTCCAGATCACTAGACGTCTAGTGAGTACCAGAATTTATTTCTGCTACAATATTTGCTTCCCATGAAGCTGAATTGTAACTCTAAATTATAATAATTCAAGACCGGAATACAGACCATCTATTTTTTATCTTTTGAAAGTCTGTGATCTTTATTTGTTATTTTAATACTTTGTGTTTAGAAGATGACAGAGTCTACCCACTGAAAGGCTACCCAAAGGCAGCAAAACTGGAGGTCTTAAACTAAAAGATATTAATCTGACAAAAAAAAGTCACTGAAGTACTCCCATAAAATATTCTAGCTACATTTTGACTGTAAGCTGCTTTATTGTTTTAGATTACCAGTGGGGTTTCAGTCCCTTTAATTGATACATTGACATTTGGCCAGTTCCTTTCAAAAACATTTTATACAAGGAGAAGGATATAAAAAGTATAGTCCATACCTATACCTAAAAGCAAAAATGTGTTTTACTCTGGAATTTTCAGTGGTGTTCAGGTATCAGATGATCTTGTAACTAAAAATTGTATGTTCTGTTTTCAGCTTAAAAAAGTCTTCTGCTGAACTGAAAAAAATATTAGCCAATGGCCAGGTAAGTGTCATTACATGTTAAGATTTTCACATAGCAGTAACTTGTTACTGTCCATTTTTCCTATTCATAAACTTATTAAACAGATAAAGAGTCTGTGAATTTCTTCTTGTCATAAATGAACTACGTGGCTTAATTTGATTGGCAGAGCAATTTACAGCACGTTTTTCAAACTGTGCTAATGGATTTCACTCCCAGCAGATTGAAGTACCATGCACACACCCTGCTGCCTTCTTAGTTTTAAAAGAAGTTTATCAGTTCTGAACAAGTGTGTCAACCCATGGGTTGTAGAAATGGCCCTGAACTCTGAGGTGACTGTTTCTTTCATTATCTTTGGGGAGAAAAGGAAAAATTGGTACTTTCTTACCTTAGCTCCTTCTTTTGTCCTGAAACTAACAGTGGCTTTTTAGGGGAGCAGAATAATAGCAGACCTAGGGCATTTAAAATTCCTGGGCTTCAGGAGACCTTGATTTGCCTTGTCAACTGGCCATCTAAAGCTGAATGACCTAACCCAGCCAGAAAGGGACAAACGGGCCAGCAGGCCAGTTATTTCTTAACTAATTTTGATCCAAGTAAGTAAATGGACACAGCTGAAATAGTATAGTGATTTTAAACATACACTGGTAAATTAAGCCACCTACAGGAGCCTCAATTCCTCAATAGCAACATAAATGTGTTTTAATGTTTGTGATAGTGGAAGCCCTTTGATAGCCTTGGAGGCAGGCTCCTGTCCATTGCGATCAAGCCTGCCTATTAGGCTCTATTGACTGAGACATCTGTGTCACTGCAAATAAAAGACTCTTATTGATTTTCTTAACTGCTGTTCACTTCCCGTCCATGTTTCGAAGGCTGAAATCTTAATTATCTCAGATGCTTATTCAGTGCCTTCACACACTGACCTCTCCAAGCCTCATTGGCATTTCATGAATCAAGTACTTGTAGTGGAGCATGTGAAGAAGACAGAGCTGGGTCCTCATGCTTGTCCTTTAATATCACCTGTAACATTGTGGCCTAATAGATGTGCATGCCTTCAGATGGTGACTGTACGGTAGTGCTTCTGGGAATCTTGCTCATTTAGCACATAATCTTTTGAATACAGGTTAAAAAGAATTGTTGGTCTGGTTCTGACATCTGCTAATCAGCCAGAGTGGGTAGATTCTAGTCTTTTATGTACAGCTAAGGAGAATCTGGCATTCTATCTATAATCTTGATGGTTTCCAAATTTTAGTTAGTAATTGTGTAATATTTTTAACTTTAATCAACCAGAGGCTTGTTTAGATGGAGGTTCACATGTGTGTCCCCCTGTGCCCTATATGTGTCCAGAACCAGTAGGAAATAAAACCTACCTAAAAGCAGAAATATTGAGACTAAGATATTTATGGATCTTCAACAAGCTTATATTCTAGTTACTAGCTATAATTTATGTACAAGTTACTTCTGTTCCTCAGCTAGAAAAAATATTTCCAAATTGGCATACATTAAGAAGCTTTAACTACATTTGTTCAACCTAGACAATGGAAAATAACCTGTCATAGATTCCTCTTTGAAAAATGAAAAACATCAGTTTATTCCCAGGGCTGAAAAAAATGAGCATTCTGGAATGTTCCCAATGTTTTGACAATGAACCTAGGACCATAAATGTCTTAGTGGTCTCAGTTATAAGGTCCTCTGCGGTGGAAGATTGTCATAGCAGTGATTTTTGACACTTAAAGACTATGTATTATTTTCCCTTAGGAATATGATAATCTCACATGAAACAGTAAGGCATTTTCCTTCTTTTAAGGGTTAGCCTTTATTATATTTATTTTCTCTCACCAAAGTAAACAAAGCACACCTTTGGAAACTTTTAAAATACCTCCTTCCTTTACTTGTTCCTCAATTCCTTGGTGCTATTGGGTAACTAAACAGTGAGCAAAATTGCATTGCAGTGAGGTAATGTGCTTCGTTGTGGGCGTCAATAAATATCCGGGCTGAACACTGACACCACTGGATATGGAAGATGTAAGTCACATTTAACGATACTTTAACACTTGAGCATAGTTTTTTTATATTTGTGGTTTATGCTCTCAAGCATTAATAATGATTTGCCTTTCCACTAGCCTCCACTTAGATTTAATAAGGCATTCATATTAATCATTAAAAGAAAGGGACATGATTCTTCAAGATAATCAAATATTGACAGGTTAGAAATAGCTTTCTGCCTGGGTTCATTGATATAGGTTATGTGATATAAATATTTATTTCTTTTCTGTCACTCAGAGTAAATGCCACCAATTGATTCAGCATTGATATAGTGTCAACAGTTCATAAGAAACATTTGACTGGCTTGTGTTTTCCGATTAGTCTCTGCTCTATAAAGTGGGATTTACTAAATCTCTCCAATTGTGTGCTCATAGAGTGTGACTGCTTTCTGAAACCATTATTGCTTCGATTTGTGAAGCAAAGCTCTAGTGATAGGACTAGTTTCTGTCAAACCTTTACATATAAAATAAGGATTAATTGAGCATTTTTATTTTAATGATTTATAAGCGATAGGTACTGATTCTTCCTAAGACAGGCAGACAATAAACAAAGAATGTTTTCTTTGCTGATCCATAATTGAATTCCCTTTCATTTTTCCCACTAATTCCATTAATATATTAAATCAAGCACTTTTTGAAAAGTTTTAGTCTTTGGAATAGGCATTATTTTCCTGCTGTCTCTTTATGATGGAGGAGCCCATTTTTCCACTTAAAAAAAAAAAAAAATCATAAGGTATTGTTGGTATGTTTTATTGAGAACTGTAAATCAGTATCACTGATGTGTTTTTCCCCTGCTTCAGTTCTAGTGCAGTACCATGTGTTTAACATTGGCCCTTGATTTGAATCTGATAAGAAATAGCCCAAAGGGTCACTTTAAAGGATTTAAAAAAGTGTACTGTTACTCCAAGAGTGTGTGACTTTGACTTCTGCTTCTCTGATCTTGTTTTTCCTCTTTTGGTTTTTAAGATTCGGTAGGAGAGGGTGACAGTATTTCTCTATTGCTGATAGATCAAGTGTAAATGTACTGAGAATTCACAAATCTCAAACAATTCTAATCCTGCTGCAGCTTTGGTTGTTATTTCTAAAATTCAAATACATTTAGAAAAACTTTTTGGTTGGCAGGGGGAGGGAGAAAAGGAAAGAAAAATAAGTGTCCTGTCATAAAACCAAGTTCAAAAACTACTCATCTCCAGTCCGTACGAAAACGAAAACATAAGTGAGACTGTGTTATATAAGTTCAAACTACATGACACCCCTTCTCTGCTCACACAGGCACACCCTTTCCTCCCTACGGGTCCTCGTGTCTGCATTTCTTCCATGGCTCCTGACTCTTTCAACAGGAGCAGAGCCCAATGCCAATCATTTCGCCCAGGTCATTTTCTGTCTTGGAAGTTGACATGTAATTGTGACTTCCCTGGCTTTCTCTTCCTCCTCCCCCACATCTGTTATTCCATCTTTCTCTTCTTTTGAGTCAAAACAAGGAAACTGAAATATAAAGCTTAAAATTATCTGATATCTTCATTGAACACTGTATTGTGTAATTCTTTTTTCAATTTCTCTTTTTAAAAACAATGTGATGACTAAAAAAATAACTTTTAACTTTTTTGTGGCCTTCAGTAGATTGTTTTCCTTCCTATGAGCCAGTGGCCATTGATAGAGAGTCTGTTTCCCCATGACTAACACCTGAATAAACTGCTAAGATGTACCAAAAAACTAGGTTTAGTCTTGACTAGTTGTGATTGACTAGCTACATGACCTAAGTAATTTGGCCTAAATAGTCTTAAAATGCTGTAAAATTCTGTGATTTTTATGATATTTGATCTGAGCTAGAATATTTAATCTCATACCCTGTAGGCTTAATAATTCTACATTTTTATCGTAATGAACACCATTCTGTGCTTCATTTTGGAAAATTGAATTAATTATGCTTATCTGAACTAAAAAGGCAGAGATATTATTAGCTGTTTGTTGATCTCTTTAATGACTTTTTTCATAGTTAAGATCAATTAAAATAACACGTGATCAGAGAGAGGAAATTCTCAAAATGCTTCTAGTGATCGGTTTGTGAGCTTGGTTCTTTTTTCTAAAAAATTTTAACCTGAATAATATTTGTAAACTATATACAAATTAGAAAATTTAAAAAACAAAACAAAACCCTGATATTCTTTAATTAAAAAAAAAAAAAAATCAGTCAGTTCATAGATCTGGCCTATTAAAACTTTAATAGAAAGATAATGTATAGAAACACATTATCTAGTTTTTTTTTAAGTGATAACATTTTAGAAGTTGTTCTTGAAAGCCATTTTTATTTTAATTGGATTCTTAAATTCTTCTTATAATCTGAGGAATTCCAATTTTCTTTCTTGATTTTTTTTCCATCCTTGAATTTGCTTATAGTGTTTACATACACACAGACACACACAAGTGCAGACACACAGACAAATCCAACTGTGACCGTCAGCCTGTTCCCTGACTATTTTGGATGCCCACCATTCCACGAAGGAGCCCTGTTGGCACAGTGGTTAAGCACTCAGCTGCTAACCAAAAGATTGACAGTTCAAACCAACCAGCCGCTCTGTAGGGGAAAGATGTGACAGCCTGCTTCTGTAAAGATTTACAGCCTTGGAAACCCCGTGGGGCAGTTCTGCTCTGTAGGGTTGCTATGAGTTGGAATCTAATCAACAGCAATGGGTTTGGTTTCTTTTGGTTTTACCATTCCAGGTTAGGTTGGAGTGATGAGAATATTGGGTAGGTAGCTGCTCTACTTCATTTTTCATCCTAGTAGCTATTGGGGTAAATAGACTACAGCATCGAGATTATAATAGTTAAAGGTGCTCAGAGACATGCCATACCTACCCTTTTGCCTTTTCTTCCTCCAAAACACCACAAAATCAAAATCCATCACAATAAATGGAGAAAAGATTGAAGTTGTCAAAGATTTCATAATACTTGCTTCCACAATCAACACCAATGGAAGCAGCAGTCAAGAAATCAGACATTGTATTGCACTGGGCAATCTGCCACAGAAATCCTTTTTAAAGTGCCGAAGAGCAAAAATGTCTCTTTGAAGACTAAGGTGCACCTAACCCAAGCCATGGGAGCTCTGATGGCATAGTGCCTAAGGCATTTGATTGCTAACCAGAAGGTTGGCCATGGTGTTTTCAAGTGCCTCATACACATGTGAAAGCTGTGATGTGAACACATGTGAACAATGATTAAGGAAGATCAAAGAAGAGTTGATGCTTTTGAGTTGTGGTGCTAGAGAAGAATACTGAAAGTACCATGGCCTGCCAGAGAAACAAACAAATCTGCCCAGGAAGAAGTGCAGCCGGAATGCTCTTGGAAATGAGAATGGCCAGACTTCGTCTCACCTACTTTGGTCATGTTGTCAGAAGGGACCTTTCCCTGGAGAAGGATATCATGCTTGGTAAGGTGGAGGGTGAGCAAAAAAGGGGAAGACCCGTAACAAGATGGAGTGACACAGTATCTGCAGTGATGGGCTCAGGTATAGCAAGGATTGTGAGGCTGGTGCAGCACTGGGCAGTGTTTTGTTTTTTGTACATAGGGTCCCTATGAGTCAGGGCAGACTTGATGGCACCTAACAACAACAACAAGCCTATGTCTGTGTTATTATTGTAGTGTATGGTATCATTATGCTTTGATGTGGATGTTTTCCTGACAGGAAACTACTGGTTTCTTTTACTTAGGGCCTTACCTCTCTCTTACCTGGCTGGGGAGCAGGTAGGCAGGGGAGGATTACTCAATAAGCAAGGTACTCACAGGCTTACTAATCCATAGTGAACAGTTTCATATCAAAGATGTAGTGAAACTTTTCACTACACATTAATAACTAAGCACAAGTAAGACAGTGCTTACCTTGCATACTGGCTACTCTGGCTCTGTCAGGACTGTAATTGGAAAAGAGGCTTTGATTCTGTAGGACAGTGTTGTGGGTTTGGGAGAGAGAAAGAAGCAGAATCTTTGATACAGGGGAAAATGTCAATTTATTCACTACAGATTACTAAGTTAGCACAAGTAAGTTCATGCTTACCTTGCTTGTTGGGCTGTCTGGCACTTCAGGTAGGGCTTGTAGATCCTGATGGTGTGGTGGAGGGCACATGACCATAGACTGTGACCCCTCCAGGACAGACCCTAGAATTTAGAATAGCTGTATCAGGCTTATCAAATCTCAGGGCCTCTAATTCAGAATTTGTGGATTTGAGTGAGTGACATTTCTCTTTCCTAGAAATTTACTTCGAGCCAAGATGAGGGTGTAGGTTGTTAGGCAAGTTAATGGTACAAATTAGGTGTTGGAGGCATGTTTAGACTACCTAGAGAAAAGTTTTAAAGCAATTAGCCTATTTGTACTTGCCAACAGATGCTGCTATTAACGTATCCTGCATATCCATTGATCAAAATAAACCAAATAGTAACTCTGCTGGTTTAGCAATCCTGGTCCCTTCATGTGCTGCTTTTCTTCATGCTGTTTTAAAATTTATGTTTGTCTTTATCACTTTTTGGTTCAAAATAATGAGGTTTTCTTTATGCCACATCTTTATAAAAAGGTTAAAATATATATATATGTATATATGTATATGTGTGTGTATATATATTGTTGTTGTTGTTGTGTGCCATCGAGTCAGCCCTGACTCATAGCGACCCCTCCTTGGGTTTCTGAGGCAGTATCACTACGGAAGTAGGATTGCCCAACCTTCCTTCCGAGGAGTGGCTGGTGGGTTAGCAGGCAAGTGTCTTAGCCACTATGCTACCAGAGCTCCTGTGTATATATATATATATATATATATATATATATATATATATATTTCCATACTAGTAATATAAAGATAGTGAAGAACAGAATTTCCCTCAAATAGGAAAATAGTTGCCTATTTTTCTGACTTGTCTATTATTTCTCCACTGACCCTAAATATAGTAATTAGCTGATTGTAAATTGCATCAATCAGATTGTACTATAGTTAAATTGGGTGCTGAATTGGCCTTTACACATTAATCTGTCAATATCCTTTTTAAGGATTGGCAAAATGGTTTAGAAAGGAAGCTGTTTCTATTACCTGCATGGTACTCCTAATTATCAGAGCTCTCTGAAGCTTCAACCTCAGAAATGTATAAAAGAAAAATATTTCCCTTGATAAATGAAGCCTTTATGCAATTGGTAGAAGTTTAGAGTAGAGCCAAATATTTAAAGCTTTACTATAATGTTCTAAAAGCAAACTGTTTTTTTCAGGTGATACTGAATTAAAAACTCCATCCATTTTCTGCCCGAGCAAGGCAGTGCAATTCCCTGGAAATTGATTTTTTTTTTTTTTTTCAGGGCTTACTATGGCTTTCCCCAAGCTTTTGCTATGTGGAAAATAGTACCTGTATTGAATCCACTTAGTGAATAAACTTGGCAGTTAATTTTTAAGCAACTGGATCAGTTTGTAGAAAATTATTGAATGCATCAAATAGAATCTGACTAGTATTAAAATCATTTGATAAATATATATTCAGGGAGTTCTTTAAAATTCTAAAACATTATTTTTGGGGGCACTAAACTAATTCACTTACTATTCATGGTATAAATGAAAGTAGTCCTTGTAGTATAATAGGTTTTATAAGACTCATGGAAAACATGAATGCATTTTTCAATTACAAAAATGACTTTAGTTTATAAAAATTACATGTCTATATATTTCCCTTTATGCATTATAATATTTGGCTATGTAAATTTTAAAGTATATTGATTTGGTACACTTCCATCAGCATAATACGATTTCTACCCAATTATGGCTGTGTACTAATTCATCATTTGCAAAAAAAAGCTAAAACTTGCATTAGGAAAATCACAAACATTATTCAGTTAATTTGTTAAATGTTAATTACAGGGTCATCTCAGGAGTTTCCAGTGTTGATTTATTTATACATCGTTCATTAGGTTACTTGGTGTGTGTCTATGTCTGTGTGTTATCTTTCCAGGTTTGACTTTGGTTATGTGTGATGCTGTTTGGCATTGGTCGTATGCAGTAGTGGAGACTGTTTTCTTATTGGTATCTCTGACCTGACCCTTTTGAGCTATGTTATATCATTCCATTTTGACACCTTTTATCAAACTTTAATGAAATGACCCAGGCAAACAAATTGTCATTAAACTTTCCATCACTTTGTCCCTTGGTATCGTCTTTTATAAATTGGACAGCAAATGTTGTATTGATCTTCTCGTTCTTGCAGCTGAACTTGAAATGACCCAGACTGCTTGTTGTTTATGGCCCAGAGTTGCTTTTCCTTGACATTTCCATCCACAGCATGACACCTTTTTTGTTTTTCTTTCTTTCTTGTGGAGATGAATGAACAAGACATACGGTATCGAGATACCCTTGGCCATGGCAACGGAGGCACAGTCTACAAGTGAGTAGTTCATTTTGTTTAAACTTTCTGTCCAGTCTTGCCAGTTGCTGGGTTTCAAGTTTAAAAGATACACAAGTTCTTCATGGCAAATATTTTTAAATGACCACCAGCGCTTAGACTTTATTTTCACATTTGAACTGCAAAATTCTCCAAGGCATCTATTTTCTCAGGAATTGCTTGGAAAAGTGCATTTATATTGCCTTTTTAATATTTCTGAGTCTGAATCTCTCCTGGGTGAGCAGTTAATAGTCCACCATAAGCAAGTGAACCTTTAACTGGCCTGAAGTTTAGTACATTTTTTCCTTCGCTCTTTAACACCATTATTTTTTTTACTTGCTAGCACCCTTTGCTAGTCCCCTGCCTGTTTACAGCTATGCCCACTGGAAGTCAAACCTTATAAATACCATTGCTTTGCCCTGTGTTGACACTATAAGTTATTAAAAAGCCTTCTTCCTGTTGTATTTCCTTCTCTCCTCACCCTACTCCCCTGAGAGAATTTCTACACATTGATGAATATGTTAAGTTATAAAGTTCTCCCAAATTCCAGTTGCAGTGATCTTACCCTAAAGGAGTATTCATTTTCATATTAAAAAATGCTAACAGTAAAAAATAGTTCTCTCGACAGGGAAGTCTTTCTCATGCAGTAGTGCAAAGTTTAAACTACATAATGTCATATCTGGTACTTAATAGTCTGCAATGGTGTATGAAAAATATTCCACTAGGAATTAAAAAATCCATACTCTGTAAGAAAGCCCTGAGGGAGTAATAAAGCTTTCCTCCAGAGAGCTGTTTTCCATATATACACTAACCCTGCATCCCATTATGACTGTATTTTTACGTTGGATATTTTAACATTGACAGTAATATATATTTTCAAAGTTCTAGTTTATTTTCTAGTTGGTTACTAACATTCCTAGATCCTTAAGTTCTTACTAACCACGTGAACACAGATAAAAATTGCCCTGTGATCATAAAATGTCACATTCTAAAAACTCAGAACATCTCCACACATAAGCAGCCTCTATGTAGAACTAGATTTCTCAGAGTTAGGAGCTTCTGCAGAATCAGCTAGTTCTCGTCACCTATCCAGGGCTGTCAGTCCTCTCTACAAATAGAGTGAGGGTCTCAGTCTTTTCTCCCAAATCTAGTCCTGTAAGTAGTTCACACATTTGGATTTTTTTTTTTCCTTTAGATGACTGTTGTGAATAGTTGTTCTGAAAGTTAATGGATAATAACATATCATGATCGTTGGGCCTTAAAGCTACTATTCTCCTTCCCTGTTCATACTGGCATTCCTTCCCATGTAGTCCCCATTATGCCATAAATAGCACCTCTTGGTCTCATTCTTCTCCTTCTTACCCTTATCTGGCTTTAATTTTTACCCTGTTCTGAAGTTCTTGAGTTCAGATACCCTTAGAAGGTTGGAAGAAAGAAGAAGGAACATAGGTACCTCAATTTGTTTTCCTTTAATTCCCTGAAGGGAACTGCTTTATAAAAAAACAAACAGACAAACTGCTTTCAAAGCCTCACCTTTTCTTCTTACTGCTCTTATGCTGATTGCCAAATGTAAGAAAACAGGAAAGATTTCTAGAAACTCTTTGGATTATTTTTTACTGGATTAAAATAGAATCAACAGACTCTTGATATACTTCTAACCTGTGTTATTTCACCAAATGTTTAATACTCAAACATGTTTATATTTTTAAATTGAAGATCTATTGTGAATTTACTCTCCTGGCTTATTTTACAAAGGAGAAAACATAACTCTGCCAGTCCCCAGCAAATAATCTTTACTAAAGATAAGGTCCTAGATGTTAAAATTTTAATAGTTTATCTTGGCATGTTGCCTAATCAAAAGAAGGGTATACAGGAGACTGGAAATAACATGGTCTTCCCCCAAGGAAAATTCACAACATAAAATTGTTAATGTTCTTAGCTAAGAAGTATAGCTAGAACTTCACCTTTCATGAGGGCCACCAGAATGTCCAAGAGAACATTCTCTCCCATGTCCTTAGTTTGCTCCAGTATTACGGTGACGTTAGCAGCTTATCCTAAGAGTTTGTTTAGCTGCTGTCGTTAATGTTCTACATAAATGTAAAGATTTAATATGTTCTTGACAGTGGTTGCTTACAAATGGTGAATGCAGTATCCTGATCATTTTAGTACTTTGTGTAGTAAATATCTTCCAAAAAGGAGAAATATCATTTATGTTGTTGCTTGTATGATTCTTAATGGTAAAGAATGTGAAATCTTCAAGTTGCGTAACTACTTGCCATTGATCATTGGCCTTCATTTCAGACTGGGCTTCAACTTGTATTGTTGTTATAACCCTGGCTTTTCAACAAAGAAATGCTATAATCTCTAAGAAATGAGAATCCATTTTACTAAAGTCTCTATAAAACTAAGTGTTTGATGTGTTATGATTGAGTTTCTCCTACACTAAGTTTACCTTAATGGTGCTGACTATAAGAATTGTAGTTTTTCAAACAAAATGATTATATTACAGGCTATGCTACATAAACTAGATGAAGAAAATATTGAAAAATCCACTCATTGGTAACAAAATTGCCTAATGGGCCTGTTTAGTTTTTTCCTTATAAAGTGTAATAAAGCTAATAAATGCAAAGCAAAAATTTAATACTTTAGTCTTATTTGCTCTACTTGATAGGATGTTGTGAATTTCAAGGGATATGAATTAGTGTGTAACTGTTATATATATATATGCACACATACATACATAAATGTGTGTGTGTGTGTGTGTGTGTATATATATATATGTTGTTGTTGTTGTTAAGTGCCGTCGAGTCGTTTCCGACTCATAGCAACCCCATGCACAGCAGAATGAAACACTGCCCCATCCCGCGCCAGCCCCACAATCCATGCTATACTCGAGCCCATCGTCGCAGCCACTGTATCAATCCATCTCCCTGAAGGCCTCCCCCTCTTTCGTCGACCCTCCACCCTACCAAGCATGACATCCTTCTCCAGGGA